TGGTCCTAGTCAAGACCTGCTGATGTTAAAAAGCTGGGGAGAAGAAAATATTCCATTGATTTATTCTTTGTTCTCTTGGAGTGCCAGCACTTGCAAGAATGTGAACTCTTACCATAAGTCATGTATATGCACAAACAGAGATGCATGTCTTAGGGATGGTTGTGTAATAATATGCATTTTGAATTCAGAATGTTTAGTTTTCTTTCTCAAGTAGACCAGATTTGTGGGAGTTTTCCAAAGCCTTTTAAAATTATTTCCAGATTTTATACAGAGCACTGTCCACCAGCAGCTAGCTAAGTTTTCTGTTAAACTGTCTTCCATTGCTTTTAGATGATAAAAGCAGCACTAGGTATTGATTAAACATGTAAAAATAAATAAATCTTGAGTCAGCCACACAGGCAATTGCCTCTCAATTCTTTGTGAGTGGTATTTTACCAACATGCATTAATCAGCTTGAAAAAAAAGTCTTGAGCCAGACTTAGTGAACCAGAAGCCACAGGGTCCATGGGAAATCTACTAAAGCACTAAGCCATCAAATATGGTTTACAAATGACTGGGTTTGCAAAGACATACTGAGCCAAAATTAAATAACTTTATAACAGTAGGCTATAATGTTATGGTTTAACCTAAAAAATGTCATTTGGGTTAGAACCCTTTAGCCTCAAGCTTTTCTCTTCAGATCTTCTTTTGCTGTCAATAATTACCTTCAAGTACTCCCAACAGCTGGTAACTAGAACAGATCAAGATGCTCTCTATCTCACTAACAGATAACAGATATTTGAAGTCTTTTATGACGACATGAAGCATTGTACAACCTTACTGAAGACTATGATAACTGTGGTCCCTTGAGTGGCATCTAAAACTCCCTTAGACTTTGTTATATACAATACTTGATATTCCATGTATTCCACACATTTCTATACTACCCTTTAATCCAAAAGTGCCTGCAGCTTTTGAAAATAATAAGATTGGAACAACATGTAGTGCTAAAAGTACCACAATCATCTTAGAAGGGGGGGGGAGAGGAAGAGCAGGGGTTAAAAATCTGGGATAATTGAATTTATCTTGACATTTCTATAGGAATGGTTTTGAATTATTGATAAACATTAGCACTAAGTGTTATTAATGCTAAAACCACAAGTAAGGAATTGGGGCAAGAAAGAGGAATAAAAGGGTAAGACAGATGTCCTTTAATATTAATTAGCAAGTCCAACTGGTAAGATCAATTCTCAATTTTCAGCACCACTGAAGCAATGGATGTATGAGTGCTTTGGAAACTAATGTGTCCCTTGGCTTCCTAGTAGTACTGCAGCTAAGAACAAAAGCCCAGAAGAAGCACTATTTCAATGGCATTATGATGAGAAAACTTCCTTGCTGGTATGTGAAAGTCGTGATTCAAATACTAAACTTCTACACCATCAGAGCTTTGCTAATCCCCCAAAGGAGATTTTGCAGCTCATTTGAAAGCTTCATGA